GAATGAGCCTCTGGTTCAAGCCAGTGAGGCCAGATGCCCACACTCCATCCCAGGTCCACACAGAGGAGCCAGGGAGGAATGAGTTTGTTCAGCAGGACCAGCGCCCCCTGGAGGAGGAGCTGCTCCTGAACAATCTCTGGCTGTCCCACCACCTATGACCTTTAAAACCTTAGGGGTCGTATGAGGACAGGCCAATCAGGTGCGGGGCCATCCTCATTTAGTAGAGACCCCATGGAAGGGGGAACCCTTCAGTACCCCCTCAGCCTTCCCAACCCCTGACATCTTTGGGCACTGGCTTACCTGACCTTGATGTTGCCTGAGAGCCTGCCCCACGTCCACAGGGCAGACAGGCTGCAGCCACCTCCTGGGAAAGGGGCCAGAGAGGGGCTTTACACACTAGACCTCCTGTCCCTCCCAGCACCCCTGCAAGGAGCCCCAGGGCCCCAGCTAACGGATTCTGCCCCTTTGTGACTTTTATCACAGTGTAACAGGATAACTGAGCAGTGCGCTGTGTAACTTCTACACCCTTGGAGAATGGAGTCCTACCCACACCTCATGTGACACATTCCCGATTTACTAGCTAATCTGCTGTTGAGCACGTGTCTTTCCGAACAGAAGGTGAGCTTCCCAGTGTCAGACACAGTGTCCCCTGCACCCCTTGTCCTGAGCTAAGTGTCTGTGAGGGCGCCCAAGGGAGGCAGAGGCAAAATATCCGCTGACCAAGGAGTGCGTGGCCACCAATGCTCCCATATTACAGGTGAGGAAATGGAGGCTCAGATGAGGTAACTTGCCCGAGTTCCCAGTGCTACGGAGGAGGGTAGAGAGGGGAGGGACCCAGTCTGCTCAGCACAGACACGCATCTTGCTCCACAGCAGGGACCTCTTGGTAAGGGTGCCCTGGTGTCACCTGGGCTCTGGCTGTGCCTGTACATTTATTGTGACCCATGGGGACACGCCCCCTCCTCATGGGTTGCTTCTCTGGCTGGCCTGTTCCTCCGACCCCAATGTCCCTCCTCCAAGGCAGAGCACTGGGAGCCCCAGCCCAGAGCAACCTTTGCGGGCATGTGCCGGAGGCTCTCGTTCCAGGAATGGGGACAGCACAGCCCACCTCTGACCCTGGCACTGCCGGCCCCAGGAGGAGCAGATATCTGGGGGAAAGATGGGGATAGGCAAGAGGGATCTCAAACCCCAGGTCTAACGATCTCAAACCCCAGGTCTAACGTCCCAGCTGATCTGTCCAGCGGGGAAGGGGTGGTGGTGGTTGAAATGTCTCCATCTGTCCTCACACATCGGACAGGAGAGGATCTGTGGGGCTACTGGTGTTGCCTGGCCTCCGGCTGCCTCAGCCCTTAGCCAGTGGTGGCGGCTCAGCATCAAAGGTCCAACAAGCTGCTGGCAGTCCCAGGACAGCTGTTCTTCCAGGGTGGGGGGGAGGAGGCAAGGGTTTGGGGCCACAAAGAGTGGTGGCGCCTGTCTGTCACCCCTCCCTGCCCAAACTCCCTCCCATTAGTCTCTTCCCCGTCCACAGATCCAGTCCCAGTCTGTCACACCACAGAGTTGATTTATTTTTCTCGTGGCCTTGCTCTCGGTGGGGTTAGAGAACAGCATGTCATCACCCTCTCTAAATATTACTGTTCCGCAGAGATTTGACAAATGTGACTCATCACCCTTCCACTCGCCAGCTAGAGAATCCCCAGGCCTTTCTTTGTTGATAGGAGGGTGATAACGATCATCATAATAACAGCAAAACAATGGCTGCTCCCAATTACTGACCATGCTCTGTCAGATCCTGTGCTAAGCACTCTCTGAGTATTATTTCATTGACTCTTCACAACCCTATGATTAGGTACTCTTCCTAGCCTATTATGCAGATGAAGAAACAGGGTTCAGAGTGGCTCAATGCCTACAGCTAGGCCTGGTCACACAGCCAGGAAACGCTGGGATCACACGCAGAGCTGCCCAAGCCCAGGCCTAATCACTGCGATGTCACCCTCCACCGACTGCTCAACCCCTACCCTAGCCAGAATCCAACCCAAAAAGAGACTGGAGCAAGCAATGAGCTGCACCCAGCGCTGCTAATGGAAGAGGGACCGGCTCAGCAGGACATTTGCATATGATTGCTTGCGGCTGCCTCTGATGTGCACCTCCAGCCTGGCCACTTCAGTCAGAATCACGTCTGTCCCCGTGAAAATGATGGCATCTTGGTTTCTCTCTCCTTTCATCTCTTTCCTGATTGCTGCCATCAGTCCTAAGCACGTCTGAGAACAGAAATGCCTGCACTGTGGCTGGGGTCTGATTCTCGCCATGCAGCTGCTCGAGACACTCTGTGATCAGGGCACTGGTCTCTTTTATCAGCTCAAGGTCACAGCCTCTCTGCGGGGGGGGGAGGGGGAATGTCACCCCAGGGTGGGCCACTCCTTGTGGTGGTGGAGTCAGGCTCTGAACAAACCTCCTTGCTGGAGGGCCCAAAAGCCAGCAATTGTGAGGTGGATGGGAGGATGGGGGGTGCGGGGGGAGGGCAAGGGACTGGGCAGAGGCAGAGGGGGCAGATGTGCCAGATGTGTTAGCCAAGCCAGGCCATGAGCCTTTGCCTTGGATGATGGACTGTTTCTGAGCCAGTTCCCTTTGTGTGTGTGTGTGTGTGTGTGTGTGTGTGTGTGTATTATTGATTTCAAAAAGGAAGAGAGAGGGAGAGATAGAAACATCAATGATGAGAGAGAATCATTAATTGGCAACCTCCTGCACACCCCCTACTGGGGATCGAGCTGCAACCCAGGCATGTGCCCTTGACCGGAATCAAACCCGGGACCCTTCAGTCCGCAGGCCGACACTCTATCCACTGAGCCAAACCAGCTAGGGCTCCACTTGATATGTTAATGAAATCTGTTGAAAGCTCCGCTGTGCTAAGAGCAATCAAGGGAAGCACCTTTCGTCCATGCTCTGCCTGGAACAACGCCAGGGTCAGTGAGGGGATTTGAAGGTGGGACCAAAGAGAAAATTCTGGAAGGGGGAGCTCAGGGCTTCAAATGTGTTGGGAATGCTTGGCAGGTTGCCCCTTCCCACCTGAGCCATGGGATTTGTTCTAAAAGGGAAGGCTGTTTCTTACATGTCACAAGTGGAGTCCTCCAGGCTTTAGGGGCTGCCCTCAGACAGGAAAGGTCCCCGGTGGGTCCTCAGTCCTGCACACACTACACACACACAGGGGCACGCACATGCACACCATACGCATATGTGCACACGCACACACACATGCACACCATACACATAGGCACACACACAGATGCACACCATACACACACATGCACACGACACACACATGCACGCACTCACAGGCACACACAGAGATGCATGCACATGTATACCACACACATATATGCACATACACATGCACACCTCACACAGGCACACACACACATGCATGCTGGAAGCCAAACCTCTCTTCTCTGCATCTCCTCTTGGCCTGGGAGCTCCCCACGATTTTCCCCCACACAATCTCATATGAACTCCTCTCTCCTAGGCATCTGAAAACACCTGTCCAGGAATCAGGCTGTGTAAAAACTCGTATCAAAAGCTTTCTGAGACCAATTCTCCCACTTATCCAGCTATGAGATCTTAGACAAGTTCATCTCTGTGTCTGTTTCCTTACTTGTAAAATGGAGATAATAATAGTACCAACCCCTTATATTTATTGTGGGGACTAAGTGAATATACGAAAGCACTTAGAATAATGCATGGGCTACAGAAATCTCTCTACAATATTAACTACTGGTATCGATTATTCCACCGCGGGAGGATAGAGGCGGGCGTGAGGAGGAGAAAAGGAAACCAACAGTCAGAGCTGCCTACCAAGGCCGGGCCCCACTTCCCTCTCTGAGCTCGGTCAGCTGAGCCCCCAGCCGGAGGACACCTCCTGGGCATGGAGACCCGGCAGGGCAGCCTTCCTCCTGACAGTGGGGTGTGGGTGGGCTTCAGGGGAGTCGGGATACCCCCAAACTGGGAGCAAAAGTGTTGTGCAGGTACATTTTTCTCCCAAAAGCTTCAAGTCTGTTGGAGAGATGGACAGAGGACATGCAGACAGACATGACAGTCAGATACTGGGAACGCGGCGAGTCTGCCTGCTCGGCAGGAAAACACAGGTCCTTGCCTCACCGGGGATGCACGTGTGAATGTGTGTGACTCAGGTGATTCCATTTAACCCCTTTATTGACAATGCAGCCCACGCCGACAAAGGGCTCTCTACACCAACCTGAGAGACTCATGGGTCCTGGGAAAACCTGCCCAGGGAGAAAGCAACTCTCCAGGCAGAGAGCTCCTTTCCTGGGCAGAGGGGAGGATTATCGGCCATGCTGGACGGAGGCCACGGTAGCGCATCAGGTCCCTGTGGAAGTCGTAAGCAGATTTTGCACTCTATTAATCTGCATCTGTTTGCACATCACTGCTGTCAGCAGCATCTGTCCAGGGAAGAGCAACCCAGCAATGGAAGGAGCATGGGCTTTGGGTTGGGCTGGCCTGTGGCTTCATCACTCCTGGCTGAGTGACCTTGGGCAAGGGTCTTCATCATTCTGAGCTCAGTCTTTAAACCAGGGAAGCTGACAAGGGTCCCACCTTGCAGGATTGTCAGGAGGATTAGCAATGAGGTAGACAGCGCTGGTACCGTGCCTGGCACACATTGGCTTAGAAGCTATGGAAGCTGCCGGATGGTGATGAAGATTGAGATGATGGTGGAGACATCTGTACTCTCTCTCCCTTGTTAGGCTAGCAGTTTCCCCAGCAGCTGGTGGTATCGCTTTCTCCCTTCTTCTTCCTATCTCCTCTCTCTGCCGCCTCACCCCCCACCCCAAAAATCATTCACCTTAACAGATCTAGAGGGGGGACCACACATTCCAAAGCCACCAGACCACCCTGGTGGGCTGTGCCCCCTTGAGGGAAGAGTGGGAACACCCATCGCCTCCGTTAGGGCTCTGTCTTCCCACCTGCCCTTGCCCCCAGCCTCACTCCTACCTCACGTTGTCATGCTTCTGGATGTAAATCTTATGGAACATCATATCCTCCTGCTTGGCGTTGATGTCTGCTTTCATCTCCATGGCAACATGACGGGGAAGGACAGAGAGCAGGAGCCGCTCCTGGGGAGGGAAGCAGATGCTTTTGTCTCAGCTCCTTCCACCTGCCTGGCAGCCAGTCCCCTCTCCTCTCCAGGTGGGCTCCTCCACACCTGTGCCCCCACCTGCAGGAAAACCCCTCAGACTCTCCTCAAACTCATGGGACGCCTGCCGGTCCTCAGCGCACACGGGGAAGGTGCTCCTGGTGGCCCTGCAGCGCTGAGCACCTGAGTCAGAATCCTACGTGTCGCCAGAGATGGCGTGACCTTGGGCAAATTATTGGACTTCTCTGAGCCCCAGGCTCCTCACCTGCCAATAGGGACAGGGTTGTTGAGAGCATGAAATCCATCCAGTCAGTCATCAAGTATTTATTGAGCACCTGCCATGTTCCAGGCAACGCGCTGGGTGCCAGGAGTCATACTGTGAACTAGACCGTGAGCTGGAACCTCCTTCACGAGGTTCCTGGTGAGGGCGTGGGCCCTGGGCAGGGGTGCCTGAGGAAAAGCGGGAGGGAACAGGAGGCTTTGTGGGACCAGAAAAATGAGGTGAGGAGGGAGCTCCATATTCACACAGGAGAGGCCCAGCTGCTCCCAGCGGTCGGCCTCTGCCTGCTCTCTCCACAGCCCACAGCCCAGAACCCACAGCCCACTGCCCACTGCCCACTGCCCACTGCCCATGCCAGGCTCGCTCTTGGAATTCTCCCATTGGGAGCCTTTCAGCCTCCACCCTCCTCGTCCTGCTGTCCTTCACTGGCTTCCCCACCCCTCGAGTGGTCCTGAGACTCTTCTGGCCCCTCCCCCGCCCCCTGGCCCCAGGTGAAAATTACCAACATCTGCTCACTCCTGCCCTCTGGGGGTGAGGCTTCCTCCAGCACCTCTATGGGCCCCTCTCACTCCCTATCTCCCATCCAAGGCTCCAGAGTCTCCAGCTGCCCACCCGATGTCTGGTCACTTGACCCCATGCCCTAGACCACACTCGCCTTCCGTGGTTTTTCGTTCCTCAGTGTCTCCTCATTTCAAGTCCCCTGCCATGCCCATGACACCCCCATTCTTCTGATCCCCAAAGGTCATGACCCTGCCCATGTAACTGCTCTTACTTCTCAGAACTCATAGACTGACCAGGTCCTGCTGGGTTGGACACAAGCTCCTGGACTTGTTCTGTCTGTTCTGCATCCACCTCCACCATCCACATGCAGTTCTCACCCGACGGTGGGATTCTCACGCCGCCTGCCAGACAGCCACTCCTCAGCCCTGTGTGGCCGCCTCTCCAGTACACGGCCCTTCTCGTGTCACTCTCCTGCTCCAAACTCCAAAGCTCCCCTGGGCTCCACCAGACACATCAAGTGTGGATTCTTCTGGACTCACTGAGCCCACTCCTATGTTCCACTCCACCCGCCCCCTTGCCTGCCCTGACACGCTCCCACCCGCCCAGACCTGGCTGCTGTCCTTCTCCTTCCAAGTACCTCTCCCCACCCTAGCCTCGGCCTCTAGCAGGTCTAGGCCTCCTTCAGATTGGCCTCTAGCAGGTCTAGGCCTCCTGCTGGTCAGCCTCTAGCAGGTCTAGGCCTCCTTCAGATCGGCCTCTAGCAGGTCTAGGCCTCCTGCAGGTCGGCCTCTAGCAGGTCTAGGCCTCCTTCAGATCGGCCTCTAGCAGGTTTAGGCCTCCTGCTGATCGGCCTCTAGCAGGCCTAGGCCTCCTGCAGGTCCAGCCTGGATGACAGGTGGCCTCCGCCCACACTGGTTGCTCTGTCTCAAAGCTTGCCACCTTTGATCTATCCTCCATTGTAAGCCAGCGAGTGATCTTCCTAAAACACACACCTGACCATATCGCTGGCCCAAATAAAACCCTCCTATGCCTCTGGAAGCTTGCAGAATCAGCCCACGCCCCAACCTGGCCTCAAGGTCTCCAGGATCTGGCTCCTGTCTCCCTCCCACCCCCGTGCTCCCCTCCCAGCAACCCCTGAATGGAAATCTGCACTCTGCTCCAGAGAGAGGAAACCAAGCTTCTGGTGGCTTTTGCACACAGCCCCTCAGCTGGACTGACCATCCTCACACACACAGGCTCACTGCCTCCCCAGGAGGGGGTCCTGGCTGGGGCTGTCAGCATCCCCTCCCCACCTGGGCCTTCCTTAGAGCCCTGCTCACTCTGCATTTCAATGACCTATGAACCTGTTTCCCTTCAGTGTGAGCAATGAGACGCCTCCCTGGGATGGAGCTGTGTCCTGTTCCCCTCCACGGCCCCCAGCCAAACACTGGGGCACTGGTGAGGGATGCTGCTCCCTGTGGTTGGCCTGGTCTCTCCAGGCGTCCGTGAGCATGGCCACTGAAGGCCATCTCGCATTTACCGAACTCGCAGCGAACAGTCACTGGTGATAGAAACACAAACTAAAGGATGAGTCTGTGTCCGATGGCTGGGACAATGTGTGCTACAAATTGTGTAGGTTCAAATTGTGTAGTCATAAACTCTGCTGATGACGTCTTCAGAGGCTGAGGGTCAGGAGTGGGCAGAAGGCGGCCGGGGAATCATGCCAAGTCCCCTGGTCATGCAGCACCTGGGAGAGTCACCCTTTCTGTCGCAGGCGAGACCGAGATCTGCTGCGTGAGGAGCTCCTGTCCCCATCCCGGTAGCTTGGCTGGAACATGGTGTTGCAAACCTATTTTCTCCCCCAGGTCCCTATGGATTTGCTGGAATGCCCGGCCTGGCCAGGGCCAGAGCATGCAAACTACGTGAGCTGTAAAGTGCAGATTTTACTGGAGAAGGGCAGGTACAGAAGTGAGAGGGACAGTCCTAATGTGGAAAGAGAAGGACGGTGTCCTGCTCCAGAAGAGAGGTGCTGGGCCAGGAACCGAGGCGAGAGAGGGGGATGTGAGGCATGCAGGGGCTTGGGAGTGAGGGGGGTGCAGAGGTGAGGTACGCTTGTCAAGGAGACAGTGGGACCTCTCAGGGACACCGCCAGGCCCAAATTTCCTTCAAGAGGCAGGACCAGGAGCCCGACCGGGCTGGGAGTACGTGGAGCAACCCAGGTCTCCACTAGACAGCAGGAGCTGGGACCTGGCTAGAGGAGACACAGGCTGGAGGGAAGCTGACACAGGTGGTGGCTGGGGAGGGGGCGGGGCTGTGGAGACACCTCGGAGCTTTATCCCCTTGCTCGGCTGTCTGCATGTCACCAGCCTGTATCCCTGTAACTCCCCTAGGACACAGCCAGACAGTCAGAGACTCCCTCATGTTGCAGTAAAACTGCTGTGCACTCAGGGCCCACAGCACGCACTCCCTGCCGGCCAGGGAATGCTGCCACTCTCACAGTCCACCTCATCAGCCTCTGGGGAAGGGGTGGGGGAGGGGAGGGTGCCTCCCTGCTGCCAGACCTGGGCTGCCCGGCTTATTTGCAAAAGCCCAGGGGGGCTGAAGAGGCAGTGGGCCAGCACTGGGGTAGAGCCCTTCCTCCAGGCTCTCCTAGAGCATTCCCACAGAGCCAGGAATGTGGGCGCCCTCCAGGAGAAACATTCCCGGGCTGGGCCCCCACCCAGGGAGGTGGGGCTGGGCAGCGGTTGGAGCACAGCTGGTGGGGAGGTCAGTCTGGAGTCTGCTCCCCGCCAGCTGTGCAGAGGCAGGCGCCCACTCACCTGCTGCTGGTTCTCCCGCTGAGAGTGGAGTCGCGCCTGGATGCACTCCCGGGTCTCCTGGAAGGCTTGTCTCTGGGAGACCTCGGCCGGGTAGTGGGTGCAGACGCCCACGATGTTGGTGCAGGAGAAAATGAGGACATTGGAGACGAGCTGCAGCGGGAGAGATGAGGAAGGACACCATGCTCAGGCCTGGAGCCGACACAGTCATTGGAGCCCCAGCCCTGACCCTTCCAGCCCCAGAGCACGAGGCTCCCAGGCCCCATCTTAGCAGACACACACTCAAATGCCAGCAGACAGATGCCAAGGAAGCTGGGAGCAGCCAGGCATTGTTGGTCGGGCTCTCTGATGTCCTCAGAGCCCACAGCCTGGCTGGCCTGTGATGGCGTATGGCCCTAGGCACCGAGCACGCTAAACGTGTCCATAGTACCAAAGGTGGAAAGGTTAGGTGCACTGGGGATTCTGTGACTGATTGGGTGTGTGCTGGGGGTGCAGGAGCCTGCGAGGAAGGCTCCATGAGGGTGGCGGGACTTCAGTTTTGGAAAGTGTGATAGCGTCCAGCATGAACAAAGGGCTGCCCTTTTGCAGAGAAGCCCTAGCTCATTACTCCCCAGGGATCAGCGGCAGTGAAACAAGTACTGACGCTCACCGTGAGCTCCCAGCACTGTGCTAACGAGAGAAGGAAAAGGTCCCTGGCGATCAGTGCCCACAGGGGTCTCGACTCCTCTCCCTAGGCTTCCATTCTGTCTCTGCACCAGCACCAAGGCCCCCCCGGCACACAACACCACACCGGCTGGCGGCTGCCGGCTGGCGAGCACCCCCCCACATCCCCTGCCCTCACCGATGCCCTTCTCTGTGTTGACTGGGATGTGCCTGTGGAAAAATACCACTGCCCCTCGGGTCACAGGGACAAGGTTGGAATTCTTTTGAAAGATTATTGACTGAAAAGCTACGGGGAAACAAAACACAACACAAGCCACAAAAGCAAGTTGACATGGTACATTTTAGATACCGACAAAGGTGCTATTTAGCCAAGATTTCTTTTGGCAGGTTCAGCTCCAGGGGTATCTGGGTAAGCTATCCTAGTCCTGCCCTCTCCTCAGGCCACACAGGCCACACAAATGCTCGGACTTCTAGGCCTCGAAAATTTAATGTCAGACTCAACTGCAGAAGGGGAGCCCAGGCCGGCCCTGCCCCTTGCATTATGGCTCCTGTGACCTCAGGTGCCCTGCCTCGATCCCTAGTCTTCTTGTCCATTTCGATCTCAAAAGACTTCCTCTGGGCACCAGCCGCCTGGCAGTGACCCAGCAGGCCGCCCCCTCACTCTTCTCCCAGGGGCCGCTTTGTCTCTAGGACAGAGGTCCTGCTTTGACTCAGGGCTGTGTTGTGCCTGAGGCTTTCCCCCACCCCGGCTCTGAGGTGGTCCAGACCATGCTGGGTCCTCAGCCAGCCCAGGCCTGGAGGCCGCGTGGACCCCATGCTGGATGCGGGGCCATCTCTCCCTGAGACATTCTGGAACGCGTCTGCCCCAGTCCATGAACAGGAGGGGACTGTCTCCTTCCCATCTCAAAGTCTTGCTCTCTCCTCGGCTGCACAGTAAATTCTGGTTTTCTGGCCAAAGGATACCTCCCAGGTACCGTCAGGGAAGGGGCAAACTCAGATTATCAGCTCTACCAACTCTGCTGATGACTCACAGCCCCCATAACCCACCCCAGAATCCTATCATTATCATTTTACGTAAACATGTGGCAGAAAACCCAGTCTATTCACCACAGGAAAGAAGACCCCTGCTCTACAGAAGCTGACAATCTAAACGAGGAGATAAGTAGTCAAGACTGGGAATGAAGGACCGGCAATAGGAAGCATAAACTGACTCACACCAGAGCAAGAGGGTCAAGAGGGAATTCGGGGTACTGAGAGAACTCTGGGCAGGCCTGGGGCACACTGGGCCTGGGTTAGAGATATGTTTGGGGAGGCTGACATGCATGGGGAAGGGCCTCCCTGGAAAGGGTACCCAGGAAGAGCCCCTCAGACCAGGGAGGAGACGGCCCAGGAAAGAGGTCTTGTCTGCAGTATTAACCCATGCTGTGACACGCCTCTAGTAGTCACCGGGGACCACTGAGGGAGGGCTAAGAGAAAGTGAGATGAGGAGGTGAAGGCTGAAGGTACAGGTGACAGGGAATTCCAGAGAACGCTCTAGTTAGGAGACATCTTTTGAAAGGAGAGAGGAAGGTGCCAGGTGACAAAAACAAGAGTGAGATATAATAGGGGAAAACTAAAAGCATTTCCCTTAAAATCAGGAACAGGACAGGGAGGTCCACGTCCACCACTCTTACTGAACATAGTACTGGAATCAGCCACAGCACTCAGGCAAGAAGAAATAAAAGGCATCCACACTGGGAAGGAAGAACTGACACTGTCGTTATTTGCAGATGACATGATACTGTATATAGAGAACCCTGAAGATTCCACCAAAAATCTACTAGAACTGATAAATGAACTCAGTAAAGTAGCAGGACACAGAATAAATATTCAGAAATTGGTTGCATTTTTATACACCAATAATGAACTATCAAAAAGAGAAACCAAGAAAACAATCCCATTTACAATTGCATCCTAAAAAAAATAAAACTAAAAAATCTGGGAATAAATTTAACCAAGGAGGTAAAAGCCCTGTACTTGAAAAATTGTAAGTATTGAAGTAAGAAAATGAAACAAATAAATGGCAGCATTATATAGTGCTCATGGATAGAAAGAATTAACATCATTAAAATATCTATACTACCCCAAAGCAATCTATAGATTCAACACAATTCCTATCAAAATATCAATAGCGTATTTCACAGAACTAGAGCAAATACTAATCCAAAAATCTTTATGAAACCACAAAAGACACCCAGTAGCCACAGCAATCTTAAGAAAGAAGAACAAAGTTGAAGGTATCATGCTACCTGATAATCAAACTGTACTACAAAGCTACAGCAATCAAAACAGCATGGCACTGGCATAAAAATATATATAGGGACCAATGGCACAGAATAGAGAGCCCAGAAATAAACCCATACCTACTAGTATATTGTCAATTAATATTTGACAAAGGTGACAAGACATATAGGGTGGGGAAAAAGCAGGTTTACAGCTGTGACTATGCAAAACACAGTCCTATTCTTGTATTATTATTTATTAATTATTGTATTATTTTTCCATTTGAACAACTGCACTAGTAAACCTACTTTCCCCCCAGTATGTACATTGAGTAAAGACAGTCTTATCATTAAATGGTGTTGGGTAAATTGGACAGATACATGCAGAGAAAAAAAAAAGAAACTAGACCACCATCTTCCATTATATACAAGATATAAAAAAATAAACTCAAAATGGATTAAAGGCTTAAATGTAAAACTTGAAAGCATGAAACTCCTAGAAGAAAACACAGACAGTAAAATCTCTGACATTTCTCTTAGCAATATTTTTTCTGATAGTTCAAAAGAATATATGCACCCTTATGTTCATTGCAGTGTTATTTATAATAACTAAGACTGGAAGCTGCCCAAGTGCCCATCAATAGGTTGTGTGAATTAAAAAGCTGTGGTACATTTACACAATGGAATATTACTCGGCCATAAAAATAGAAGAAAACCTTACTTTTGTGACAGTATGAATGGAGAGCATTATGCTAAGTGAAATAAGCCAGTCAGAGGAAGACAAATCCATATGATTTCACTTATATGTGGAATATAATGAACAATATAAATGAACAAACAGAAACAGACTCACAGATACAAGGAACAGACTGATGGTTGCCGGAGAGGAGGAGGTGTGGGTAAAAAGGTGAAGGGATTGAGAAGTACATATTGGTAGTTACAAAACAGTCATGGGGATGTAAAGTACAGCATAGGGAATATAGTCAATAATATTGTAATAACTGTGTATGGTGCCCAGAGGATACTGGAAATATTGGGGGGAACATTTTGTCTAATCACTATGCTGTACACCTGAAACTAATAACAAAATAATACTGAATGCGAGCTCTAATTGAAAAACTTTTTTAAAAAAGTTTTTTTTAAAGAAAGTAAAAAGACAACGACAGAATTGAATTATCTGCAAATCACATATTCCACCTTTATTTTTGACAAGTATATAAAGGCAACTAATGGAGAAAGGATAATCTTTTCAATATATGGTGCCAGAACAATTAGATATCCATATGATCAACTCAAGTCTCACAAAATATGCAAAAATTTCCTACTAATGGTTCATAAGCCTAAATGTAAAACCTGAAACTATTAAACTTCCTGAAAAAATATATGACTTTGAGTTAGGCAAAAAAAAAAAAATTTATATATAACAGCAAAATCATGATCCATAAAAGGGGAGAAACTGATAAATTAGACTTCATCAAAATGAAGAACATTTGCCTTCAAAAGGCACTGTTAAGATAATGAAAAGATGAGCCACAGATTGGAGAAATTACTTCTAAATCATATATTTGATTTTAAAAAAAAGATTTGTGCCTAGACTTCATAAAGAACTCCCAAAAGTCAACAATAAGAAAACAAACAACCCACTTTTTAAAAGAGCAAAAGATGTGAGTAGACAATTCACCAAAGAAGACAGAAGGATGACAAATAAGCACATCGGAAGATGCTCAAAATCATGAGCTCTTAGGGAAATGCAAAAACAATGAGATACTACTCAACACTATTAGAACGGCTAAAATAAAGTAAAATTTACAAATTAAAAGAAAAGAACGAAGAACTGCCAATACTGTTACTGGAGCAACTTGAACTCTCACACCTTGCTAGAAGGAATGAAGAATGGTCCAGCTTCTTTGGAAAACTGTGTTGATTTCTCATAAAGCTTAATATACACTTGCCATAGGACCAGCAACGTCACTCCTAGGTACTTGCCAAAATGAAAAGTTATGTTCACACAAAAATCTGTGCAGGAATGTTTATAAAATGGAACAACCTAGTAATAGCATACATCCATGATTTTTAACTGGTATGCAGCAAGAATTTTTTTTAAGTGACTATCATACCTGTTTGTTCCTTTTTTAATTGATTTCAGAACGGAAGGGAGAGGGAGAGAGAGATAGAAACATCAATGATGAGAGAGAATCACTGATTGGCGGCTTCCTGCACGCCCCCTAC